CTATCATTATTGATACTAATGAATGAATGAATTGTATTTTATGCACCACGTGTTTCATACAATAAAAAATGTCACCATGTGAACATGTTGATAAGATGTTGATTTTGTAAAAGAATCAAATCGAATGAATGAAGTGTTGAAAACGAATACATTCAAAACTTTAACAGTTTTCAAAATCTTTTCAACAGTGTAAATTGTGTATAAAAAGTAAAGTACTTTTTATGAACTATACGAGAAAATTTTATTTGCCTACCAATATCTCATGACCATTTGTCTATCGTGAACAGAGATCCCTCACACTTACTTACTTACTTACTTACTTACGCCTGTTACCCACAATGGAGCATAGGCCGCCCACCAGTTTTATCCAACCAACTCTGTCCCAAGCTTCCCTTTCCAGTTCTGTCCAATGTTTGTTCATTCCTCTCATATCTTTCTCTATTTCTCGGCGTAATGTGTTCCTTGGCCTTCCTCTTTTCCTTTTGTCTAAAGGGTTCCATGTGAAGGCTTGTCTTGTGACGCAGTTAGGTGCTTTTCGTAGTGTGTGTCCTATCCACTTCCACCACTTCTTCCTGATTTCTTCCTCCACTGCAATCTGGTTTGTTCTCCTCCACAGTAAGTTGTTGCTGATGGTGTCTGGCCAAGGAATCCAAAGTATTTTGCGTAGACAACTGTTAATAAACACTTGTATCTTCTGGATGATGGCTTTCGTAGTTCCCCAGGTTTCCGCTCCATACAGTAGAACTGTCTTCACATTTGTATTGAAAATCCTGATTTTGGTTTTGGTTGAAAGTTGTTTGGAGTTCCAGATATTTTTCAACTGTAGAAATGCAGCCCTTGTTTTGCCAATCCGCGCCCTCACATCTGCATCGGATCCACCTTGATTGTCGATGAGGCTGCCCAGATATGTAAAGGTGTTAATGTCCTCCAAGGCATCTCCATCAAGAGCGATTTGGCTGGTGCAAGATCCCTCACACGGGTGAACTTTATCGGTCAGAAATTCAAATTTACACAATTTTTCACAATCCTGCCACGATAACGTTTGCTTGACAGTCAGTCAGTCAGTGTTTGTCACAGATTAATCTCGCTTCAAGTACCAGTAAAAACTGATCATCAACGAATAGCTGCTTATTGGTTTGGAATTAAACACTAAGTTTTACATGATCACGTGACAGGAAGGTATTATTGATCAAGGATACCCGGGCGGTAGTTAAAATAAAGCAATAGATCACGGGTTCATGCTTAGATGATATCGTATATCAGGCAATAAAGACATGTTTTGAAAATCCCTATCGCATTAAAATATAGATATATGAACGAAGGATAATCTTTTTTTTATAAGTCTGTCTAGTGCTTTTAGATTCTCCACAGTAATTTAAATAAAATATATTCGTTATCTAAAATCGATGAAAATTCCATAGTCCTCACAAAACTCAATACTAATAAAATGAAATTTTCCATGTCTAGAATGTAATATAATTAAAGTAAATCTCAATAACATAGGGTGACAGAAATAAACACGTAATTACAAATCGGATCAAATGTTCGACCGCAAATTACGTGGCCCGATTAGCTTCCGAATACCCTGGTATGGGTGAGAGTGGGAATGCTCTAATATGGTCATGTGAATATAGCCACTGCCAGGGAAGGCCTACTCACTAGCCTCTCCTGGTAAAGATGTTGTCTACGAAATTGGGGAAGAAAAGAGAATGATCGGAGCTTTAACCAAGTTAGTAGGTGCGGAGGATCGACCTGGGAAGTTGGAGAACCGTGGTTCTAAAGCAATGATGCATGTGGGCTTCAGAATCTTGACGAAAAGAGTGACGTATGAGCCTATTGATGGCCACCGTCTATTATGAGACTACATCTCCCCACGTTACTCTACTAACTTGTGGATTGGACTTTTAGGTCAAAAACACGGGATGTGGCCACCTAAGAAAACTACCTGCTTCGGTTTGGGCGTTCAGGCAATATCCGAGCCTACTCACAAACTCAAGAATTTTTGTGAAGTATAAAAATTTTGATGCTTATTTGTATCAGTAATCATATTTCTAAATAAAAAAACATTCTACTTTATGGCTGCGAAACATGGCCAGTAAGAGTAGAAGATATTCGTAGGTTATTGGTTTTCGATCATAGGTGTCTTCGAAGCATTGCTCGTATATCGTGGGACTATCGATTACGCGATGTAGTTGTTAGGAAACGAGTACTAGGTAAGGATGACAGATCAATTGAGGTAGTCTTGAAACATCATCAGTTGAGGTGGTTGAGAAATATGTTACGTATGTCCAACCACAGACTGCCTCAATGAGCTACGTTTTGTAGTGTAGAGCTAGACTGGAAGAAAGCTAGGGTTTGCCAGTTGAAAACGTTGCACAAATCCATGAGGTTAGTGACAACTGGATTAAGTCATATTAGTAGGTGTCAACTACCTGGTTGGGGTCCGCGAGATGCTAGTAATCGATGGTTAGAGACCCTGAATGACATGGCTCAAAACCGTTTGCAATGACGCAGGTGCATTCATTCTTTGTGTCCTCTCAAATTCTAATCCTCTGAATTCCTCATGGCTGTTTTTTTTCTCTTTGTTTAATCGATTCCTCTGAGGTATACATCTCCAGTGATGGATTCGATCATTAATCTTTTTGATTACTGTCAATACTTTTAATACGTACTACTACTACTACTACTACTACTACTACTACTACTACTACTACTACTACTACTACTACTACGGGATTTGAATTGACAATGGTGTCTAGTGTGCCAATGTGATATGGCAACTTTAACGTACGTACGAAGTTCTACGTTGCAACTGACTGACTGACAAAATGTGAATAAGATAAGAAATAGTGAAGCAAGTAAAGCAATTATTAGTTCAATTCATTGTGTATACAAGCTAAATACAATAAGTAGAATAAAATATATTGTCAATAAATACAAACGCAAACTATTTGATTTAGTATTCCAGACAATAGTGATAAAATTATTCACATTGTAGTATGGTGACTAATCCTAATCACAGTAAATTGAATGCAATGACCAATGATAAAGTGTCAATTATAAAGTTTTATACTGTGATTTTGAAAAGAACAGACAATAACAGACTCTTTGAAGTCTATCATTTGTGACGTCATATGTGATTAAATAGAAAAATATGTGATTACTTAGTAAAAGAAACAAGCTATAAGTTTTCAGACGAATTAAAAACTCGACTGTCAGTTTGTTATATGATAAAAAAACTTGCTACCATGTTTAAAACCCATAATATATATATATATATATATATATATATATATCGGTAGGCGTCGAATACCTGATTGGGGTCCACGAGATGATAGAAATCGATGGTTAGAGACCTTGAATGACATGGCTCAGAATCGTTTGCAATGACGCACGTGCATTTATTCTTTGTGTTCTATGAAATTCAAACCTTCTGAATTCCTCATCACCTCTATCTTTCTCTCTTTAAATTTACCTCACTGAATTATACTTCTTGAATAACATCTTCCAACCCTGATCTCTCCGATTACTTCTAATACTTTTACTACCTCTACTACTATGGGATTTGAATTGAAAATCACATCTCTGTGCTAATGTGGTATGACAACCTGAACTGATATACTTACGTACGAAGTCCTACGTTACTGTTGATGATATATATATATATATATATATATATATATATATATATATATCACCTATGACACAGGTGATAAAAGTATTTACAATTAATGTGGCGAATAATCTCAACTCGAAAAAAGAAAACATGAGTAAGTAACTAAAAGAGACAGAAAGTCAACCTAACAAGATTAAGGCTGATAAAATAGTAGTTGATCGATTTGATTGGATTTCATTAATTTTGGGACAGGATGATGATTCCTAAGCGAGGAATGTTTAATCATTGACTACTGTAAAATTACGACAAGTTATACTGTTTATTAAGCATTATTCACAATTGAATTCTTTAGAATAAATCTGTAACATAAACAACAGTTAGTTATAGTGAACATAGAACTTGGCATATATGTTCATTGGTTTAAACTTTGATCAATGCTTTGATCAATAGTCAAATACTTGTAACTAATGCATATCTCCCACTTTTGCAAGTCATGTTTCAGCCCCCTCGATGTGATGCAGAGAACTGCTGCATGTGCCACTAATGATACAATTTACCAATTCAAGATGGGATTTTTTTATTCCTGGTGCCAACCTATCCAGTTATCGATCAACTAAACTTAAGTTGGATCCATGTAATGTGTTTTATAAAACGATTAGTAGCTGACGCCAATAAATATGTCAAGAGCCCATAGAAAGTAGTATTTTCGAGAACATCTTAGTCACTGTAATTGTCATTAGACGGTTAGAGATAGTCGGTAAGTACACCTGGTTATAGATTTTATGCTAGTGAGTGACAAACTACAGGAAGTTTCAGTTTTTCTGTGACTGAGAATATGTCCAACTGACAACTCAACACAATAAATTCTAGATCCAGAATTTTTGATAACTGATTCCAACCATCAAACACTAGATAAAGTACAATCTGATATCAAGTCACTTATCCTAATGAGTATATTGTAAGCTTAAAATGTATGTTTTGGTCATTTCTACTGAGAACTCTTACCATTGGTCACCACCTAGTGTAAACATAATAATTAAACAGACTACCGCAACAAAATCTTTAGTCTTTCTGAATACAAATGAAATGACCGACCATCAAAACGATATTTCCTATTACAATAGCTGTGTCAATACCTGATTAAGCTTAAATAATAATCCTAGAAATGTAAATTATCGACTTTTTCCAGATTTGCCACGTTTCAAGTTTTATCACAAACTTTCAAAAATCCCAGAAACAGTTAAAAGGCCAAAACCCAAAGTCAAAAAAAATAATTTGTCAGTCAAAAAGACGTACTAATACATTATAAAAAAGATAATAATAATAATAATAATAAATTACTTTGCACAAAAGTACGACACTAAAAATATATATATAAACATACCTCTGCTATGTCTCGATTAGTTTTTGATTCATGTGGTTCATTAAATTCAGTATATCGTAATAAAATTTTATCCATATCTGAACTAGCATATTGAAATAGTTTTTGTGAACTTGTAAATACAATTAAAGCTATTTCACAATCACATAATATACTCAATTCGTAGGCTTTTTTCATTAAGCCTAATTTACGTTTTGTAAATGTAACCTGGAATGATAAGAAACAAACAATTTAAAAAATAATCTAATAAACATGTATGATATAATAGAAATAAAATAATAAAATTCTTACCAATATGTCAAACATACAGTTAGGGTTGCTAAATTAATTAATTAGTCAGTCAGTCAGTTGCAACGTAGAACTTCGTACATAAGTACATCAGTTCATGTCGCCATACCACATCGGCACAGAGATATAATTGTCAATTCAAATCCAATAATAGAAGAGTTAGTAAGGGTATTAGAAGTAATCGGAGAGGTTAGGATGAGAAAGTATTATTCAAGAAGTATGATTAAATGAGAAAAGTTTAGAAAGTCAAAACTAGAGGGGTTGAAGAATCCAGAAGATTAGGATTTGAGAGAACACAAAGAATAAATGCACCGGCGCCATTGCGAACGATTTTGAGCCCGACCGTAGCTGCTACCTTGACGTGGTGGTCGGGCTTACCTATCGTGATGACCCAACCGAGCTATATTGGCTGGAACACATGTTCCTGCAGGTCCTACCATGCCAGACAGGTCGATTGGAGAACGATCAGACTAAAAGCAGCTACCCAAGGTCTGAGAGCGAAGTCGTACTGCTGACTGCAGAGGGGTGTGACAGCAGTAATGTGTTTCCCTCGGACAACTAGCATCTGCAGCGATGCTGCCTTCTCACAAGGAAGGAAGGGGTTAGAAAAGGTCGACCCTAAAAATGTCACACCTCCCCTACCTCACGGATTTCCGTCTCCGTCGGTAAGGGTGCCCACTAAGGGCCTTTAAGAACGGAGCTAATCCTCAAAAAACCCTTCATAAAAAGGCCGTGCGTGATCGGCCTCAAGCAGTTGTCCCTTGGGCTCTGCGGTCACGCACCCAGGTCTCTAAGACCAACACCAATCTATTTTCCTTTTCAGGTCCCTCAAGAAACATCCTTCCACGGTGTGAGCAGACGGGAAGTGACAACCGCCCTCATACCCGTAACAGCACGCGAGACCAAATTGGTCAAAATCAAAATCAATTAATTAATTAATTAATAATGTGGTGGTGTTTCGTTCTCTGAGCTGGATGTTGTTTTGGTTGTGTAGCTATCATTGTTCGTCTGCTGAACAATATCATCAGCAGCACAAACTTCAGATAGCAGAAGTGAAGCATACGAATTTCTCCACGTTTGATCTGTAGCTTGTGCTGATAACCTCGGTCTTGATTGGTTGCTGTTGACCTTAAACCTGTCGAGAGATCCAGCTTAAAGAATGAAACACCACCACAATCAACCACTTGAGCTACAAATTTTCTCCACCATCTCATAATTAATAATGTCTATAATAAAGCAGATAATTACATAACTTAAGGAATTGGTTAAAAGTAGTATGTCGTACGTACTGGGATACAACTGGACTAGATATTCTTCACTGAATTGTCTTTAATTTTTCGCCAACGATACAACAAATATTTTTATTTCATGAAGATGATTTCAAAACAAATTAATGATTTCAACTTGAGGACCAGTGAAAACTAAAAGGGAACACCTGAGTCCTCGTGACATAGTTTGACACTTCTCAAGTGAATGAACTTACGACTAAATCAAGAAAAAACTCTGAGTCCTTTTGGTGGGGACATTGGATCCCCAGAACTCACTTGATTAAGGTCCTAATTTTGAATTTTATGTTCTCGAGCATGAGCTGATCAGTTGACCTTGAGGTATAATTTCCCACCCGGGACATCCTCGACTGTTATTCGTTGTTGCATTAATTTTGTACGCTATTTTTGTGGCTCTCCCATGGACGTTTATCTCATGTATAAATAAACTCGATTTGTGTGCTTGTGAACCTCATATTTTCTGAGTGTTTGTAGAATACACTTTCTACGTCTTGTCAAGACTTCTTTCTCTACTTAGTGGGGCGTTGAGACGCTCGAATTAGAATAGCCTATCGTGTCATTGGATCATTTGTCTTCGCTCTCGTTTACCGAGTAAGGTGAACTCGTAATAGTTTCAAGTGTATCAGTTGACAAGCACAACACCTTTATATTTCGAGATGAGAATATTCCCGTTATGCTGGATAACTTGTAATTTATCGATAAGCATTTTCAACTTTATTTACTGTGCCATGATAATCCCTGAATGCCATCATTGGGTAAAATGCATTATTTCCAGCATGGTTAACATTCATCAGTCATAGAATTATCTCACAACAACTTCAAATATCCATCTTCATAAATAGTGTCACTAGTGAGCACATCACATCAATTCAAAAACAGAGTAAAACGTAAAACAAAACATCATAATCAGTCAATCAATCAATCTAATCTAATCACTAACATACCTGACGATTTCGTTCGTCTGAAATTTTCTTAATTAGTATTTTTTTACGACCCATGTAATAAGATTGAAATATTTTCAAAAATATACAACACTATAATGTGATATGATGACACAAAATGAAAACATATTTTTTTTTAAAAAAAATGAAAAAAAGAAAAAAAAGAAGGACTTAAAATAGAAAACAGTCAGAAAAATGCAGAAACAAAATCACAGTAACAATATAGGAGAACAATAAATAATAATAATAATAATAATAATAATAATAATAATAATAATAAATAAAATAGACTTCCCCTTTTTCAATTTTTTTTTCTTTAAAAAATAATAATAATAAAAATAACAGCAACAAAAGAACAGCGTACAATAAGTTGGGAAATAATACTACACACACAAAGATAAACAATCCCAACGTACATATAAATATGTGTAGATAGATATATTTGCAGTGATGACGGGGGCAAGTAAAGTGATTATCTAAGATGATTGCTTTTATTTTTTTAAGAAATTTTAAGCAAACAATGAATTAATTAATTAATTCTCTCTCTGTTGAATAAAATATTCACACTTATGTAATAATGATTAACGAAATAATAAGTATAAAATAAACAGATCAATATTAATAATAATAATAATAGATGATTAAAAAATCGATGAAATAAGGGGAAAAAAATATCGGTGAAAACCACACAAAATAAAAAGAAACAAATAATATATATATATATAATGATCTCTTGAAGAATCTGATTCTGTTGGGCGCCTCCTCTTTTTGTATCACCTTTAAAATAAGAACACTCAAATCTCAATCGATGTGTGTTTGAATCAAAATCTGGAAAGACTATAATACATACGTACGTACGTACGTAATGATTATGTATGAATGTGTGTTGTGTGTGTGTGTTGATCTGTTTTTTTGGAAAGCAATGGCGTTGAAATAAACAAATAAGAGATATGATATATAAATCACAATAATTTTATTTCTTTTCTAGATTTTGATTTTATAAGTATACAAGCATAGATTAAACTTTCGTGGTTTATGTTTAATTAGATCGGTAACTGTATAAATTATCTGAAAAAAAAGAGATAGTAAAATTAGAGAAATATTATTATGAATCACTAGTAATTAATTAATGAAGAGGGAAAAAAAACTCACAAATTTTTAGTGTCAGTTATTTAAAGGGAATAATTCATGAAAAAGAAAGACAGACATACAGACAGATGCAACGTAGAACTTCGTACGTAAGTACATCAGTTCATGTTGCCATACCACATTAGCACAGAGAAGTAATTGTCAATTCAAATCCAATAGTAGTAGAGGTAGTAAGGGAATTAGAAGTAATCGGAGAGGTTAGGATTAGAAGATATTATTCAATAAGTATGATTCAGTGAGAAAAGTTTAGAAAGTCGAAACTAGAGGGGTTGAAGAATCCAGAAGATTGGGATTTGAGAGAACACAAAGGATAAATGCACCGGCGCCACTGCGAACGATTTTGAGCCATGTCATTCAAGGTCTCTAACCATCGACTATTATCATCTCGCGGACCCCAACCAGGTAGTCGACAATTACCGACATGGCTAAGTCCACTAGTCAATGACTTCATGGATTTCTGCCATGTTTTGGTCTGGCCGCCCCTAACTTTCTTCCAACCTACTCCTACACTACAAAACAAAGTTCGATGAGGCAGTCGGTGGTTAGGCATACGCAAGACATGTCCCAACCACCTCAACTGATGAAGTTTCACCACTTCATCGATTGATCTGCCATCCTTACCTAGTACTCGTTTCCTAACGACAGCATTGCTCACTCGGTTGTCCCACGGTATACGAGCAATGCTTCGAATACACCTATGATCGAATACTAGTAACCTACGAACATCTTCTACTCTTAACGGCCATGTTTCACAGCCATATAAGAGAACGGAGCGAACTGCTGCGCAATACACTCGTCCTTTGGTTAGCGAACGGATATCACGCCTACGCCATAAATGACGCAGGTTGGCAAAAGCCAATCGAGCCTTCTGTATCCGCGCTGAGATTTCGTCAGTCACCAGGCTATCAGCACTGATGAGACTCCCGATGGATTGGAATAAATTACATAAGAAAGTAATGATATAACCGATATTGCTGATTAAAAGAATAATTTGAAAATTTCGAACATAATGATATTGAACGGAAGATTACCACTGTTGGATCACTGGTTCGTTCGAAAAACCCACTTTAGTACTACGGTGTAATTAAAGTGGCATATTGATTGATGAGTTCGTAAACCTCCCAAGCACGCAGGAACAGGTTGGAAGAAAACTACGGACAGCCAAACCAAAAACATGGCGCAAATCCATGAAGTCACTGACAAGTGGACTAAGTCATGTTGGTAGGTGTCGACTACCTGATTGGGGTCCGCGAGATAATAGTAATCGATGGTTAGAGACATGACTCACAACCGTTTGCAATGGCGCAGGTGTATTCATTCTTTGTGTTCTTTCAAATCTTAACCTTCAGAGTTGCTCATCACCATTATTTCTATCTTTTTAAGTGTATTTCACTAGATTATAATTTTGAATGATCTATCTGATTACTGCCAATACCTTTACTACCTCTACTACTATGGGATTTGAATCGACAATCACATGTCTGTGCTAATTTGGTGTGACAACCTGAACTGATATACTTACGTACGAAGTCCTACGTTGATGTTGATGATGAGGTGAATTTATTGTGTTCTCACGGATCCTAACCTTCGGAGTTCCTCATCACTTTTATCTGTTTTCTTAAGTTTCTTTCACTAGATTATACTTCTTGAATAATATTGTCGGACCCTCATCTCTAAAATGACTGCTAATACTTCTACTACTATGGGATTTGAAGTGACAATCGCATCTCTGTGCTAATTTGGTACGGCAACTTGAACTGATGTACGTACGTACGAAGTTCTATGTTGTTGTTGACTGACTTATCTAAAACACAACTTGTTGGTGAACAGAAGCTACAGAACAACAATATACACGATTTAGCTTATGTGGCTATAAGTTTAATACAGCTACTCACAACCATACTCGTTAGGTATCGAAATTAATTTGGTGGTACTCAACAACTAATTAAACAACCTCAATTTCTACCATTTGATAGCAGTATTGGAGCATACATGATTTACTTCAGTGTAGCCAACTATGCATCACTAACAAGTGCGTTTTTAAACTGAAGATATGAACCTGAACTTAGTTAATGAGTTACATTAAATAAAACTTTTTAAAGCTTCTGACTGAAAGAAATGATAGCTATAATATTTCATTGACTAAGCACAGATCGAGATACCCTGTTACCCGAAATCGACTAACTGGAAGGACGTTTAAACCTAGGACCTGGTGGTTGGAACTTGAGTTTCCTAGTTACTAGGCCATAACAAGTTTGATTAAGTGATAGTTCAACATTCTCAAACCAATTCACTTTACTTAGATTAGTAGCCTAATTAGCTGGTTTACCTCCTAGAACTGGAATTCCATACAACGATAGATGTTATCAAATTGAGATGGCTTTATCGTAAAGATTTCACTTTAGTATAGCATTTGCAAACAGGAAAAAGACAGTGGAAATGAAGAATGACGGTATAGAAAGTTGTTTTCTATCTGATTAAGAGTAACTGCTATAAGACATGAAATTTGAACAAAAATCTGAATTCTAATTTATATCATGTAGGAATACGAAGACTACACTTGGAGTCAATATTAAGAGTTTGGGTTTGGATTTGTATAGTCATCATTTGTGGATAGAGACCTTAAATGACATGAACTAACATCAAATGCAATGGAGCAGTTCAATCTGCATGCAACTTTTCTTTAAGCCCATAGCTTTTAGATTTAAAAATTTTAATTGTTATTATTTTGCTTTCTCTGTTAATTTCTCTTGCTGTTTCCATATGATCTCAACTAGAAGTGATATGTAGAAGACTGTATGTTGTCTGCAGCTGATACTAAAGAGTATGACACAGGTAAAAAAAAACAATACTAGCAGCACATATATATTTTACTGTCACTACTGCGGATTATATTTTTCTGCCCTGATATGCAGTTGTTGTGCTAGTGTGCAATGTAACACCTTAAAAGATGTATATTTTCGTTTACTTTCCAATCCCACTTAATTTCAACGTCACTCAGTAGAGTAAAGACAAAAATTTAGCCCTTTAAAGTGGAAAATATAACTGGTTTTAGATGCACCATTCACTTAGTGCTCCACGTCATTCACGTTTGAGATTTATAGAGTGCAAAACTCTAGTGAATAAAATCAAATTTTGACTAATAAAATGCAGTGTATATGCAGGCTGTGTGATAAGTCATTTTACTTCTTGTTCTGAAAGAATTTTATAATTTTTATTAGCACCACGAACACTTGATAGGAGTTGGCAAGTAGAGAATATCACAACCACACTCCCATCACATTTACTTATTGCGGTATAATTTCCACCAAAGACCATATTGTACATTACCAAAACTTTGTTAATTCTACAAAACAATTGCAGTAACTCAAAACGACTTTTAGTCCTTAGATAAATTTATGAAACTGCCAAACATTGAATGCCCAGTAAAAATCATCACCAAAAGTCGATCAAACCTTCCGATCGATCGACTCAGAGTTTATGCTCTAAAACCGTCCCGAAGTCCAACGTAGTAATGAGAACAGATATTGATTTAAACTAGTTTCTAGATAAAAAAAATTATTGACTTGTTTTCCAGTTGTACTTTAGACACGAGGACTGTCAATGATATTCGTTTGTTGAACTAAAGATGGGGCAAGTTTTAAACCTGAAACTTACTGACCGAAACTCGAGCACCTAAGACAGTGAGCCACTGCATCAATGAAAATAACTAAGATCCATCCAGTGAGCAGTGGGGAAAATAAATGGGTTGTATTTATTGAAATAATATCAGTTAGTTAAGTCACATAAGTGTTGTAGTAGAAATAGTTACAGTTAGCAATGGAAATAAGAGATAATAAATTCATTTGATAACCAAGGCCACAATCCTGAAAGAATAATGCATTCTACTCAGTGACATCACCTCAGCC